TATTTGTTAGATAATGATCTAGTATGAAACCAATCCTGTCGGCAGGAGGTCACAGTGATGTTTGTACTATTAGCACTTTATGCTTCTACCTTCCCAAGAACAGAAGGAGTTTTTTCATTAATTCCTCTTATCCCAAATCCTTTTTTTTAAAAATCCCAAATCCTTAAAATCAAATTGTAGGCACAAAGTATAAGCAAATCTGAGATAGTCTTCAACAGGTAAAAGAGTATAACTATGTATTCTCAAAAAATACTGTCTAGATATTCCTTTTTGGTGCTGGGGATTGAACTCATGAAGTCACATTTGCCAAGCAGGCACTTAATGCCGTTGAGCTAAGGCCTCCAGCCTAGATATTCTTTCCTATATAATCAAACACTCACTGGCAACGTTTTTAACAGCCTGTATTAGTTGACATTAAGTGCATTTGTTGTGCCACAAGTTCATCTAAGATTTCCTTTATGTATCTTAAAATATGTCAAAAAAAAACCCCCCACCTACTTCAGGTTTATTTAGGAATTAATCTGTAAAGACATCAACTCCATTTTTTTCTGTTTTCTTTTTTTTTTTTTGGTGGTAATGGGGATTGAACTCATGACCTCGAGCTTGCCAAGTAGGCGTTTATGCCACTGAATTAAATCCCCGGCCATCAACTCCACTTCTTTGTTTTTTGTTTTTTTGTCTTTTCTTTTTTATTGGTACCAGGGATCGAACTCACGACTGCCTGCTTGCAAGGCAGGTGCTTATGCCGCTGAGCTAAATCCCCAGCCCCTCAACTCCACTTCTAACGTTAGACTCACTATGATACTGTTGGGCTTACTGAAGAAATAGGACAGAAGAAAAAACTAAACCACAATAAACTTCTTTAGGTCAATTAAAGGCTATTATCTCTAGCTGGGGTATTAAAAATTTTGAAATTTCACCAGCTCACACTCTAAATGTTAGTGCCTCTAGTAACAGCAGCAGGAAAAACAAACCTGTGACAACCAGTCCACTCATTAACAAAAAAGGAGGTTAACTCAAATTCTTAGACCAGTGTTTAACGCTACCTACCCAGCTTCCCCACCTATCAGCAAGAACAGAAAAATCAATTACTTTAAAAACCTAAATAAGCTTAGTATTTCTCACAAGGATAACAATAGTCCAAATTCTGAGAGTGCTCAGTAGGACGAAAGGTAGAGTGAAGGCAATGTCTAGAGCTAAGTATATCAAAAATAGTCTTTTTTTTTTTTTTTTGGTACCGAGGATTGAACTTGCCATCTTGCATTGGCCAAGCAAGCACTTATGCCGCTGAGCTAAAGCCCTGATACCGCAGTCTTTAAAAACTCAAGTACCACAAATTCACCAGATTTGTCTATGAAGTATAGAAAAGAGATTTCTGCTGCATCTTTTTATCTCTTGAAATAAGCAGTATTTGTAGGCTCTGCCCTTCAATGTGAAAGAAGGACATTTTAAAAAAAGTTTAAAAATCTGAGATCATCTGACACCTCGTTTTTAGGTTATACATCTTAACTATGAAACAGATCTTCTTCCTTCAATCCAACTACCTCACAAAAATGAGAACTGAAATGATCCAAACATGATTATTTTAAAAAGTCCCTGAAATTATTAAAACTTTTAATAATTTAAAGGAAAAGGAAGCTGTGGGAGGGGGGACCGAGAACAAGGTAAGAGTGCTTAATGAAGAGGGGAGGGGATTAGGAGGCCTCTCTTTATATGTGGCCACAGCAAGTGCAAGAAAGTTCATTTACAATTTGTTCAGTTATCTGTCTTTTGTGCATCTGCAATCTGACCAGAAGCGACTTCAAGGTTTTTCTGAAGCACGTGAGCATCAGCAGGTTCTAACTTCTTCTAATGGTGGTTCTTTGTCACAATAATCTCTAAGCCAAACTTTTTAGAGGTCAATTGCTGGACATGCAGATAGATGTTATTGAAAGTGCCATCTTTCTCACAGATATTTAAGACATGATTTAACATTTTAGTTCTTGTCCCAGCCTTTGGTAAGGTTCAAGGCACCTACTGTCATGATGTAAAGTCTCTTCTGGTTCTGTGAATGATTCACCCTAAGCACACTGCACCCTACAGCCGTGTCACTGAAATAGGCAAGTGTTGCTAGTTCACCAACTTCCAGCATATCCTTGTAGAACTTGTCACTAGAGCTCACTGGGAAGATGATCTGGTTTAACCTCTACAACTGTGTGACACTGGGTGGTGCTACATCTCTGAGCTCATCTTCCCCATCTGCAGAAGCTGTGGTTACTACCACGCTCAATGCTGTTGTGCTGCTCTGAGCTCTCTGCACCCTCCACTCGAGTCACTCAACCCAAGGCAGTCTCCTCGCCTAGAGCAGGGAGTGAGGGGGTGATGGAGGCTGCAAAAGCCCAGGACTGTAGAGAGAGGGTGGAGACGCATACTGTTGGTGCACGGGTACCACCGCTTCTCCACACGTGCACATGGGGCACTCCCCCGCTGCCTGCCACCCCAGCCCAGGCGCTGCGCTGTGACCTTTCACCCCACCCTCTCTGCAGAGAGTAACTTTAACTTCAAAGTTTAGTAGTTTTTTTTGGTGGTGCTGAGGATCAAAACCAAGAGTGCTCCCCACTGAGCTACAAATCCAATAGCTGGGATTACAGATCTGCATCACTGCATGTGGCTTTAACACTAATCATTAAAGCAATCACACATACATTCAAGTCCTGTGTTCTCTGTCATAGGAAAAGGACAAGCCAAAAATAGAATATGATAGGTGAAAATACAGAGGGATTTCACAAGGGAAGAAACACAAAAGCAATAGATGAAAAGTGACTATTAAAGCAACTTAAAAATGGACACTGGACAGACAAATGTAGACACAAAGCTGAAGAGCAGATGCTGTGGGATGGGCCAGAGAGCAAAGAGGGAGTGACTGATGATGTGGCTGGAATAACAGGAAGTTCTGAAATTAGATGATGGTGATGGTTGAAAACTCTGTGGACACACCAAAAACTATGAATGTATATTTTAAACTAGTGAACTGTATGGCAATTAAACTATTAGCAATGACTCATCTCACTAACGAATGCACAGTGAGGTCAAACATCATTTTTCATGCACTAGAGTGACAAGTCTGACAATTTCATACAGAGCTAAAGAAATTCTCATACATAGTAGCAATGTAAACTGATTATTTTGGAAAACCACATAGTAATATTTATAGACTTAAACACATGCAGTTCCTGTATCCTTAGTGCCTACAGAAGGTCATGGAGAGACACATCCAAGAATGCTATGACTTTGTGTAATAAAATTAGAATACCAGAAATGCCCAGTGACTGACATAAAACAAAGTTGTGCTGCATTTAAACAATGGAATATTAGGCAGCAGAGAACACGGATTGATCTTAGGGGCTGGGGCTATAGCTCAGCAGCACAGAGCCTGCCTGGCAAGTGTGAGGTCCTGAGTTTGATTCCTATGAACAAAAATATGGATTGATCTTGGAAACAAATTACATCCAGTACAGTATCATTTTTAGAGCTCAAAACAAGACCCAAGCTTGGTAGGTTGACCCAACTAACTAAGACTTCTTGGGAGACCTACATGATAATCTGACAAAGAAAGAAGAGCTATGGCATTGACCCTGTGGTGCAGGCAAGGGATGGGATGCAGAGGAGCATCAGGACTGATGACACTGAGGGTGTTGTTCTATTTTGTGATGCTAGAGGTTGAACACAAGGCCTTGCACATGCTAGGTGAGTGCTCTGCCACTCAGCCACATCCCCAGCCTGGTAACATTTCTTCTCGGTGGGGAGGTTGATTCATGGATTTTTCTTGTGTTTTATAATTTATGTGACTCACTTCTCTTGTATGAAGAATCCATTGCCTAATAAAACCACAACAGAATCAGACAGATCAATGAGTAAGTCACGTATCATGCTATAACTCAGAAGAGCCACCACAGATGACTAAGCCAGTTTGGTGCTTAGCACCTCCCAAACTGTGCCTGAACACAGTCACATACACTTTTAGTGGGGACGAGGTGCTGCTGTGAATCATCCTTCTCTCCCCACGGCAGGCATCTTCCCAAGTCAGTGTGTTCACAGCTACACCATCAGCATTGGTTTAACATTCTAGGTTTAACTGTGTGCAGCTGAACCAATTCTGTAGTGGGTATTTAGGTTTTTAATTTCTTCCTTAATTTGCAGGTACTTTTCCATACATAACTGTGCAGGGTCGGGCATAGTAGGTACTCTAATACCTCTTGAATGGGTTTGTTTCCTCTGTATGATTATTCAGATGAAACTGTTAGCTGTGTGTACTGTATTCTGAAAGGGTACATCTTGTTAAACTAGCCTTCTGATAAATTAAATTGCATACATTTCTGTGTATATAATATGAATAATTTCTAATTTTTCCAAGTTGTGTAAATACTGGTTGTTTTTATTTTTTGGGTATTTTTATTTTTTGTCTTTGCAGTTTGCATGTGACACAGCCTCCTGCAGTCAAGCCTTTCTTTGACCAACTTTCTCTGAGGTAATTTTTTGCATTTACTTTGGCCATTTCTAATTCCCCTGTGAGATTCTAATTCACTTTTGGGGGGGGGGTCCAGTTTTCTAATTGTATATCAATTCTTTTTCTAACACATCATATTAATTATCCTTTTTCCATGTTGCAAATATTTTCTCCGTTTGTCACTTGTCTTAACTTTATGGTGGTTTTTCTAGGGCTGTGGTGGCAAACCTATGGCATTCATGCTGTAGTGGGCTATTTGTTAACACTGAAAGCTCTACGAGGATCACCATCACTCCTTAGGGACACAGAGGGGAAGAGGAATGTACAGAAGAGTTTGCATGTGTTCCAATCACTCCTTTTCTTTAGAAAACTCCATCCTACCATAAAATCAGAGAAAAATTCTGTTCTCTGCTGTTCAAATTTAATAGCTTTAAAATTTAGTCTTTTAGTCTTTACACACCTGAAATTTATTTCAGAGTTTTAGTTCAGGATTGGTTGAGGGCTCTATACTCACCAATATGGGCAGTAAGGACATTCCATCCATCTGTGTCTTATTCACGTTATAGCCAGCAATGTCCAAAATAGTAGGACCCAAGTCAATGTTGGCAACAAGCATCTATGAAAATGAGGAAAAAGTAAAAAACTGGCATAGTTTTCCTTTCCTACCTATATCAATGCTCCCTTGCCCGAACCACTTGAGACAAACAGCAGTCACTATTTCCATATGTACAGCCATTCTTTAATGTTACTTTCATATATTTAAATAAAACTTAAAACAGGGCTTCTACTAGAAGCTCCTGTGACATCTACTTTTATTCTGCAGAGACAATTATTGATGAGAATAAATCAGTACCTCAGTCCTCAAACACTTTTGTTTGGGAACAATTTTTCATAAAGAGAAGCCTTTGGCAAAATTTTGTTTCTGTTTGTAAATTCTGCACTGGGTGAGACACAGACACTACTGAGGCCATCTTTTCTGCACAAATACAAACGTGGCCCTCTTTTCCAGAATCACGGAGTTAAGATCATGAATCAAGGCACTTATGTATGTTAAAAAAACTCCTGTGGAATGGCCTTGTTGGAAATCATGAGAAAAGTGTTAGGTTAGGTAGTGTTTTCCCACTTGATTATTCAGATTTTGTTCATTAAATCTGACTTCCTTTGGACTCCCAGCACTTTAAAAAGCTTCCCAGATTGAATACTTGCTACTACTGAGAATAAACAGCACATTTTACAGTTTTTCAAAGTGACAACACTGCTAAAAAATGTTTGCAATAGGATTAAGACTCCGGGAAACTTATTTTAACAATACATCAACAAAAGTTTCCTTAAAGAAGTGAGGCATGGTGGTACATGCCTGTAATTGTGGCACTCATTGGCGAGTTCAGGGCCAGTTTGTGCTACACAGTGAGACCCTGTGTCAAAAACAAAACAAGTTTCCTTAAAGGGGAAATAAACACTGCAGAATTTAAAGAGCATGTTTTGTATTTATATCCTTTTTTTTGTTTATATGAATCTTTTGTGTACAATACTTGTAATAGAGCCTAAGCTGGCATAAAGCTCAGTATTAATACGGCCACATACGTAATTTAAAAATATCTGTTATTCACATCAAAATAAAAACAGATGAAATTGATGGTATATACAGTAACTCAATACATAAAAATACTACTATTTCAGCAGGTAAGATTAATCTTAAGATTATTTAATAAAAGATTAATCTTAAGCTTAAATTTAAGATTAATTAATTTAATAAAAGATTAATCTTAAGCTTAATTTAGCAGTGCTGTCACTTTGAAAAATATAAAATGTGCTGGTTATTCTCAGTAGTAGAAGTATTATTCAATCTCTGAAGCTTTTTAGTGCTGAGAGTCCATAGGAAGTCAGATTTAATGAACAAGTCTGAATAATTTAATAAAAAATTACAGTTTACTTTGGTTTTGGTCTTTGCCTGATAAGTAACTTTTTCTTATTTATTCCTTACCACAATCTTAGGATGCAACTCTCCCCCATTTTACAGATGAAGAAACAAAAGAAGTAAAACAAAATGAAGAGCTTATAAATGGAAAAACTTTCATTAAAAAGAAATAATAGTCTTCAAAGCTGCTGAGGAAACTTAAGGTGACAGTGAAGTCAGGAAAAACTAACAAACAAACAACTAAACCTGCCACTTTTAATTTAAAAAACAAAACCAAAAGTACAGACATGAAATACAAAACATCTTTGGAGCATTGTTCATCAGGGGTCTAGTTTCCTGATGGCCAGGATGACTCCCAGAGGGCCAGTGATAAATACATATCCTGGGTCTGAATCGATAGTATACTTCCACAGCTGTCAGAAACTGCATTCTACAGTAGACAATCAAGAGAGGCGATCCATATGTCACTGGGAAAAAGACTCACCACACTACGTCTCCAGGGATTACACAGATCTACTGTTACAGATAACTGTCCTAGTTCCAATCCTCCAGGCAAACTAAACAGCCTCCTCACCACTGCTGTCTGCATGTGAATATGCAGAAGATCACAACAGGAAAGAAGACAAAGTCTATCCGTAGCATGAAGAGTAGGAAGTCACTATTAACATGTCCAAGACAGATTTACAAGGAAAAGGTTAAACACCAAAATAATAAAACCAGAGAGACAGTGGTTGCTAATCTCAAAAATAATCACTTCAACAGCCGGCAGCTATAAGATGGGAGACTTTATTAATGTTTTGCGCAATGGAAAGACCTGTGAATTTCAGCATAAAGAGTCACTAAGATCTGGCACAAATGCCCTAAGCCTGTCATCCCAGTATTCTTTTTCCTAGATGTCTCCACTTACTGCATCTTCCCAAAACATGACGGATAAACTGTCTTCTAGGGTTCTGCCTTAGAAGCAGTCTCAAAATGTGCACACTATATCAGGAGATGGCCGGTTTCTTCTGGACACAGTAGGAATAAAGAATTCAAGAGACAATTATACCTGCTTCTAGTTTTATACAACTAAGCATTAGAACAGATTCTATGGACAACATGGAACACCAGAGTTTCAAGTTCCTAGAATGACACTGCTTTTTATCACACTTAGATTGGAAACAGAAAAAGCTTTCCTAAGACCCAAACAAATCATTCCATATATCACAGTCTCTCAGTTTGAAAATGTACTTAAGGATGCAAGCACACAGACATTTAAATGAAATAAATACCCCTAGAAAACCATGGGTCATGAAAGCAAGGAATACCAAGTGTTGAACTTGCTTATTTTTAGCTCTAGAAAAATGATGGTGCTTCATAATTACTGAAAAGAAGGCAACAGGCTCTCAGGAGAATACATCAGGTTTCCAAAAAGACACTTAAGCTCTGATGCTAAACAATTCATGAAGAGCTATTGGAGAAAAGCCTTAAAGCACACCAGAAGGAGCGCTAGGCTCACCGGTGAAAGGGACCATACATGTGTGAGAAGGCAGAGGACCCACCAAATCCTGGGCTGCTCCACCTGGATGTGCCCTAGCTCCAGCTTCCACAGTGAAGCAGGGGATCATCCAGTTCTACTCAGGAATGCAGGTGTGATGATGTCTCAAGAGCACAACTAGGGAAAGCAAAGGCTATTTTGTTCAAAGTCTTAAAGTGAAGCAGTCTTCCTGACTCCAATTCAGTTCTATTTTCCCTGGGCCATGTTCTGCCATTCTAGTTTTCCTATTAATGTTTTCCTCTCTAAAAATTCTTTTAAGAATTTTTGCTGCCAAATATAGAGCTAGATTAGTAACTGGTCAGGGAAGAAAACTTTGGTCAGCCTTTGGCATCCACACAGCACCTGCTCCAGCTCCCCAACAGCTGACGCACAGCGAAGTCGATGGGTTAGCCAAATGTGCACTGCTTTGGCTGTCAGGCTGTTGATGGTTCAGCTCATTCTGCCAAACATGCAACCCTATGTCACTCACACAGGACACCTGGCACTGATGTGACTGCCAACACGTGACAGGTGCCCCTGGCTGAAGCATTTTGCACATCCCCAGCTAAACCTGCTAGCGCAGCAGTATGACAAGCATGAGTTATGAGAACAGGCACGGTGCACTCTCAGTCTGCTCTGCCATTTACTGTATGACCTTTTGGTAAAATCCACTCAACCTGGTGTGGATGGCCCACCGAGCAGGTAGGTTAAGGGTTATGTATTCTAAGTCTAGATAGTTCCTCTTTCCTGGGACATCACAGTAAACAAACTCAAGAGAGAGAGGCCAGCTGGAAACATGTAGGAAGGGGACTGACCTCAAGCAGAGGAAAGGGTCCAAAGTGACTTCCAGGGAAGGATGCTTAAACTAAAGTCCTAAAGGAAAAGCAACTGGCCAGGTAGAGGGTCTGAGGTAGGAATCACAGACATAAGGAGTGAGAGAGATGGTGCACTGAAGAAAAGCAGTTCAGTACAAATGCTACTTTCTGTCAATCGAACAAGCCTAGCTTATTCTGTCTGTGCCTTCATGTTTACTGCTCCGCTCAGAGCACTCTTTCTGCAAACATTTTGTCACTACATCCTTCTCAACAGCCACATCTGTGCACAAATGCTTTAGAGGCTTTCACTTGCTGCTCCTGCTGCTACCGGACCAGGCTCTCTCCTCTGCTGCATCCAAGGTTCCTGGTGTACTCTGCCAGCAGAAGACACTTTACAGATACATGGTGAATGAACTACAGTGTAATGGTTAAGTGTATGGGCTCTGGAGCCAGACTGCCTACATTCAAATGTAGGGCTCTGATACTTTTTATCTACACAATTTTAGGCAAACTAGTTAACTTCTGTACCTTAGTTTCTGTAACATGGATTAACAGTGTATCTCATAAAGATTAAACAAACTGATTCAGGTAATACTCTTAGACCACCACCAGCCACGTACTAATAATAAATGTGAGTTTCTACCGCAATGGCTTCCTAAGAAGCAGGTCTCAGTTAGATTGCTCAGACAAAGCAGCATCTGATTTTACATTTAGATGGCACTGGAGAGAAGAAGAACAGTTTGCTTCACAGGCAGCCGGCTGACACATTTCACTGCATTCTCACTTGGCCTCCTTCGGTGCACTGATCACACGCATGCCCAGTGCCCCCACTTCTTGGAAATGCACACACTGCTGGCATGGTCTCCTCAATCAGCTCCAAATGCCGACCTCAATACAACACTTGTAAGATTTAATGACCTTCCAAACTTGCATGTCTCCTTTGAAAGAGCAGGCTTGTTAGAACAGCACTGACATTTGTAACAGGAGGCGAGTAGCTTGAGGGATATAGGTCTTTAAGAGCAAACGAAAAATTGAAAAGACAGTTATGAAGGCCAGTTTCCCTTTCTGCAAGAATTTTAATAGTACTTTAACAACAGCATTATATTAGGAAGTGAAAGGCAGACAGTGAGAAAGTAGGCAAAATACCCAATAGACCCAGAAGTCTGGCCCATGTTGATGTTCATTTTTCAATTTTAGCCTAAATTATGTATTTGCTCATTTTCTCTGATTTCATAGAACATGGAATGAAATTGTGAATATCAAGAAGGAGCGAAGACATATTGAGCAGAGCTTATCACTGTCTTCTGAGTACTCAAGGAGAGTGTTTTAGATTGAGGTGCTCACCACCTCTAGGAATCTGGGTGATAAGCATCAGGTGTGGAAAAGACACTGAAACCAAATGAAAACAGGAGCAGGAAAATGCGTTATATAGTGATTGCTCCAGAGCAAGAACCAGGGAAAGAGAAAAATATTAGTAAGGAAGGATCCCACAAAAAGAAAAGGAAGATGAAAGAAAAACGATCCTCAGTGTAGGATCTCTAATGCTTATACCTATGGGAGGTCACACAACAGCAGACATCACCTCGGCTGATCAGAAATGAGAACCTACATTTTACCAAGATGGGACTCACAGACACAGCAAAGCCTGAGGAGCAATCCCTGAGAAAAGTGGGTGCCAAACCAAGGGGCCTCTCAGAGTCATCTGTAAACTTAAGAAGGAAAGAAAAGCAGATGCTGGGTCCTTAACCACACCATGGAAGTCAATCAGATTTTTTCTAGATGATGCCCAAACCTATACTATATCTCTTTATAATTTTAGATGGTGATTTTCATAAACACTATGTTGAGAATCACTGTTCTAGAACACAGAGCTAGTCTAAAAACAGTCAAAGCTCATGCATGCTGATATGACATATGTATTTAGGAGAAACAGACTTAATAGTGGGTAGTAGGGAGCTGGAAAAAAAAATCATCTTCAAGGCTTTACCAACACACAAAATCTTACACTGATCAGCCTTCACCCTCACAGGAAGAACCCAACCAGCCCTCTTAGGAGAACAGCCTCATTTTCTCAGGCAGATGCCTACCTGCACACAGTACCAACTTCAGCCACACTTACCTTGCTTGTCTGATTTGGTTTAATCCCAGGTCCTCGGACCAGCAGTGGAACTTTGATATCGAACTCATACAGTTGTCTTTTGTCAATTGGCAAAGAAAACTGTCCTGAAAACAAAATGCATAAGGTAAAGATGGAGCCAAGACAAACGTGTGGTTCATATTTTGTTTCATTTAGTCAGTATCAGAACTAAAAATTCTTTGTTCTACTATTTCTCATTTCTCAACATCTTAAACGTGCTGGGTCTCTTATGGCTGTAAGGCAGAAAACCAACGAGTTGATGATTTTTCAGTAACAAATGAGAAGGGTTTCCCTGGTCTACAACAGGACGAATTGAGTAAAAATAATGACTGGAAAGGACTGAAACACAAATACATAAAAATTTCTACACCGTACTCAACCTGATCATGGCTGAATAAAGTTCTTCCAAATACTGTCAAATAAAAGGGTCAAAAATACGTATCCTGTTACTCCCGAAGGAAATGTATTTTAACATATCCAAATAACTGATAACGAAAGACCAGCAAGTAAATGCAAAAGGACAGAATCATAGAGTTGACATCTTGCAACTTCTATTGAGAGTAATGGATTTTGGCAACAATCACCAGTGGGAACTTCAATGGCAAATGTCCATAGGAAGGATCAGGCTGAAACCACCAGAGCCATCAATCAATGCTGGCATCTGCAAAGAGGTGCCGCTGAGGAAACATCTGTGCCCAAATACAGGAATTTCTGTCAAGTCTGTCTTGCTACCAACCTATAGGAAATGCTGAGTACATATGAGCAGAGACAGCCTCACAAGACAGGAATCTGCCAAATTCAGCATGTGGGATGTTCTAAAAGACAAAAGACTCACAATTCCCAGTAAACCAGTGGCAAGTGAAACTCAGGAGACCAAAAAATGAATAGTGTATGTGAACTTTAGAGCACGATATATAATAATTAGTCAGATGCACAATCAAATGATGAGCTGAATCACATGTGTGGTAGTCATTCTGAAACCTTTTTGAAAAAAAAAAACTAAGAAACATGTAAGAATGAATGAGGAATTCAAAAGACTGAGCACATATAGCTGAAAATCTATGCTGGAAAACAGAGGTTATTTTATTAGCATTTTTTTATGGTGCTGGGGACTGAATCCAGGTCCTCTGTACCAACTCTGAGTTACATCCTCAGTCCTTTTTCAGTTTGTATGTATGCATTTACTTAAATGAGAAAGCGTCTCACTATGTTGCCTAGACTGGCATCAAACTCCTGGGCTCCAGAGTTCCTTGTCCCTTACTCTACGTGGGATTATAAGAGTTACCTATACTCTGCTCCACTAATCTTGACACTGAATGCTTAAAAAAATAGGTTTTTTAGCCGGGTGTGGTGGCACAAATCTGTGATCCTAGTACTCCGGAAGCTGAGGCAGAACTGCTTGGAATTTGAAGCCAGCCTAGGATAGTGAGCTGAAGGCCAGTCTGAGCTATATAAGGGAGACCCAGTCCCATAAAAAAACAAACAAATACTAGACCTTTTGAAAAAGGAAAGGGACCAAGAGATGGAATGTGGGAAGAGGCAGAGGGAAACATAGAATATATAGGTCCCAACTACCCATAAGAAATGTGATCATTATGTACTGCAAACATGAACTAAAAAGAAAAAAAGAAAGAAAATGGGGAAAGGGGATCAGAGACAGACAGAGGAAGGAGAGAAGGGGAAGGAGAATAAATAGGATTAAGCCATGTTAGTATGTGTAACTGCTTCCTAGGATGAATGTAAACATTACATATTGCAAACATACACTAATAAAATAATTTTTAACACATTCACAATAATACATCAAATGACTAATCAATCTGCTCCTCTATCAGAAGCTTCAGGTACATTCCTTTCAATTTATAGACAGGCAAAGAAGAAGGCATTTGTAACCACAGAAGGTCCAAGTAGAAAGGACAAAAATCAAGGACATGGAACAGTTACTAGTTTGGAAAAAACAAACATACCCCAAAAACTAATTCTGTGAATTAGGAAGGTTTTTTTCTACAAGATCACCTTTTTTTTTGAGACAGGGCTCTACTGGGTAGCCCAGGCTGGCCTCAAACTTGCAGTAATCCTCCTGCCTCAGCTTCCCGAGTGCTGGGATTACAGGTGTACACCACCACACTTGGCTCTACTGGATTTTCTGTCCAGAGTATCTCTATCCTACTAAATTCTACTTTTCTTCGACACTGAGCTTAGTTTTCACTTCTTCCATACAGCCTGCCATTAAAATACAGTCGTCTCCTGCTCCTAGAACACCACATAATTCAGCAAATGGTTTCTCCATATGGGACTGACATAATCCTCTGGCAAGAAGCATTCTGATGGCAACACCCTCCCTCTGGCAAGTTCAGAGCTGTACAAGAGCTAGAACTCCGGCCACAGCTGCTTTTATTCCTGAAAGGTAACAGGAGTACCTGAGACTGCCTCTCACCTGTGTGATAGCCATTGTCTGAGGTAAAAAAGATGTAGGTGTTGTTGAGCTCCCCGGTAAATTCCAGTCTCTTGATCAATTTTTCCACAAGGTCATCAACTGAGAGCAGAGTTTGCCACCTGGAAGTGAACAGATTGGAAAGACAACTTTTGAGGCATTGGCTGAGGTATTGCTATCTTGACAAAAGGAGCAAACAAAATCCTCCCCAAAGAAAAACAAAATTACCCCAAAGGCTGAAATCCTAAATATCTATTCCTGAGAATCGCCACCACAGAGTAGAAACTTAGAGAACATAATTCACTCATTCCAAAGTTAGGTTTCCAAAGAAAAAAACTAGGTTTTCTACAACCAGTTGGCTTTATTTTCCACAGCTACTGGCAACAAGAGATCATAAGGAAAAGTTATCAATTTGGTATAGATTACTACAGATTGATTCACATAGGCCTGTGCTACAACAATGTTATGGTTGACAAACTATGGCCCATGTGCCAAATTTGCCTGTGAGCTGTTCTGATGAAGCTTTACTGCAACACAGCCACGTTCTGTCACCCTTTTATGCTACAAAAGCAGAATTGAGTGGTTGCAATAGACAGCACCTGGCCTGAAAGCCTACAATATTTACTAACTTTATATCTGGCCCTACAGAAAAAAGTTTGCTGACCTCTGGGCCTAAACTAAATATACTGTGAAAGAAAATAAACAGAAAAAGCAAATACATGGGTTGATTTCTTACTAGGTGACCTTTTCCATAAATGTGAGAAAAAAAGTTTCAATCCACTGGTTCAACTTAGCAATATTCTTTAATAAGTCCTAAAAATGTATTTAATCGGTTCTGGGTCGCTTCATGTATCTGAGTGCAAAAGCGCCACTGCTTGCTCCTGAGGCAGTCAGTGCCCCACCCACCTCTTCTGCTGACTTGCCAGTCTGCTTTTGTGTCAATGATGACAAGTGTGATGTAGTTCTCTATTCTTAAAACCACTTTGAGAAAGTAGCAGTAGCTCTTACCTTTTCCTAAATGCATTATCTAAATACTGTATTGAGGAGTTAGTCATAGGTGTCTTGGCTTGCCTAATTAACCAGTGCTTGTTCTAAAATTTTAAGAGAAAAAAAAATGTTAAGAACAAGTCATCACCGTCAAATTACTAGATTCCTAGATAATAAAAATGAACTGAAACCTATATGAGCAATGCCAGATCCTCTCTCCTTTCCCCCATCTTCCTTAAAAAGAAAGTTCTTAATTTATCATTTGTTCTTCAGCTTTCTATCCTCTCCCAAAACTATAAAATGCCTTTGCTCCTTTGTTACCATTAATAAGGGACTTTACTCACTGTCACTGAGTGATGAGCTGTCACTGAGCTAAAATAATATTTTAGCTTTACTCACTGTCACTGAGCTAAAATAATATTAAATTTAATATTATTTAATATTAAATAATATTAAATTTCTAATGTGGATCCTATGTCTACTGCAACTATGAATGGACAAATGTTAACTGTACCTTTCATTAAGTTTTGGCTAATAAATCATTATTCCATTGCTCTCTATTTTCCAACCCAATACTGATCACCTTAGAGCTCTAGGGAAAATCATACATCAGTTTCCTAAAACTTCCAAGTCCAAATGAGGAAGGTCCTTCCCATTTAAAGAGGTCATATTTTTAACAAAAGCTTTCCCATATAGCATTTATTTTTTCCACTGAGAGCTCATTAAAAAAACTCTGAGCAACTATCTCCAAAATTATGTTCCTCAAGGTGTTCTTTAGTATTAAGTTTGAGAAATGCTATCGAACATATCATTTTACTATCAACTCGTGTTAAAACAAACACGACTCAGAAGTGCTGTAGCACAGTGACTTATTTAACCAAAAGTTTCCAAACTTATTGGTCATGGCAACTTTTATTAACTCTTCTGGCATACAACATGAAAGTAAGACTGGAATCTTACTTTACATGGATAATATGGGCATTAAGCATCTTATTAATTTCATACCCAGAAATCTGTAGTAATGGGTCCAACTTCAACTCTTTCTTCCATCTTACAAGCAATTTAATTTTGTGTCTTATAGACACATTGCAGCACCTTCAGCCTTTGAACTAGGCATCTTTGAACAGCTTGTCCAAGGGAAGTGTAACCTGTTAAGCATGGTTTTGGAGATACTGGCTTAAGTTTTGTGAACAGAAAAACAGAAAAAATGGTGTATGGGAATTGTTTTGTTGTTAAAAAGGTAGCTTTTATTTAAATATGGACTCTCTAGATGTGGACCTGAAGTTTTAGGAAACTGGTATGATAGGATTTTTCCCAGGGATCAATGTCTTAAAAAGGAAAATAAGAGGATAATGAAATTACTTACTATGCAAGCCTCGGAGAAAGGGAAAATTAACCAACACAAGAGGCAAGTATTTGGGTTGTTGTGATTTTGAGTTGTGGTCTATGTACTGGCTCAGTGTTTCTATTCAACACTCCTCAACCACTGCCAGACCTTTTCTTCCTAAGTCTTAGGCTGCTGACAGTTACTGAAGGGAGGCTGCTGTGGGCTCAGCTCAGGCTCTGGGAGGGAGGAGAGCCAGAGGTTACCAGGATAGTCTTGAGTGACACTCCTGTACTCGGGGAAGATGGTACCCCTACCATTCCACACAGACTCTCCAGCTGTTTGCTGGGTGTGTGGCAAGAACCTTATCTGTATCAGTGAAGCAAATTCATCCTGTCATTCACACTAACATAATTTCTCTGACTTATTTCTCTAGCATTATCTCTAAAAGAACTTGAAAGAAAACCTGCTGCATGGCTCAAAGGCTTCCTGACAAGAATGTTACATTATACCAAATATGGCTTCATGCAGGGGTTAGGGGAATGCTACCATTCCGTGGATGTTGAAATTCTTGCTTCTTGGTGCAAAAACATTCTGGAAAGTCTTCTGGTATTGAGGTGCAGCTGTCCAAGGTGAATGAGGGGCTGGCGTGGAGATCATCATGAAGAATGGCTCAAAGTTAGATTTGTAGTCCAGGAAGTCCAAGGAGACATTAGCCTGACACATAACAAAGGACTGTCATCTCCTATCCTACCTGATAATTGAGAACTTAATAGACAAACACCCTCTGGTGAGGAGAAGGTCATTTTAGCTGCTGATCTTAGCACATGATCATATTTCATGGTTACATGCAAGCATGCTGTTCAAATAATGCATTTGTTTTTCAGACAATCAAAAAGTAGAAATGCATACCACTACAAGAAAGAAACTGCTAGCCTGATAACTTCACATGACCTAGAAATTGCTATTTCATCCATATGGAAAGAAATCATAATTTGGCCATTTTAGTATTCACATTAATGAAGCTTGGAATACCATGTATCTTTGATGCCTCAAAGAACTCTGAATAGTGGATTAGGTGGATGAAGTTATCTTAACTTTACGAAAATACACAGAAGATGTCAATTATGCTAGCCAAAAAGTAGCTAGGCTAAATGAATACTAAACCCACATACTGAGGTAGCTCAGTGGTAAAGCACCCAGCAAGCATGAGGCTCCAGGTTCAGTCCCAGCACCAGAAACAAAAAACCCCAAATATACCAACATCAGGGCTTCATTTCATATCAATTTAAATTCTTCATCTGCTTATCAGGACATACTTTATGAATATGGAAACACTCTACATGGATGTTCTCTTTCATTTTCTAGTTCATTTATACCTTCATTTATTCCCAGCATTAACTCCAAAGATACCGATAGCAATTATTTCCTATCAGCTTCCCATTTGCCTACTTTATTCCAGTCCAACTGGCTTCTTTGTGGTTTCTGAAACACTGGACAGGTACACGCCTGTTCAACCGGGGGCCCCGCGTTACCACTCCCTCCACTGCAGCACTCCTTCCCCTGATTTGGATAGCATACCTTCTCCTCCTTCAGGATTCTGCTTAAATGTTATCTAAGTGACTCCTTTCCTTTTTTTTTTTTAAACAGATTTTCATCTAAGGAAGCAACAAATGGGTAAATGTACGTGTCCACACATACAAGGCATACCTGAAACCTCTTGCCACAAGAAGGTTACCTTTCACAGAATCACTTTGCTTCACTATCTGTTAGAACAGCTGCTAAACTGTTTAGTAAATAAATGTTCTATGGAAGATGTCCATTAAGAACACTTCAGGAGAGTCCCAAATTCATGTGACTTCATTCTTTTACACACACAATCCAAAAAAGTCCCATATTCCTATGTCTCCACCCATATGAGGCCTATTAGGCTGCTGTCTTAACTTTTTAGTAAAACTGAGGTCAAGACTGGGAATCATTATAAAGCAAAACCTGTACAAAGTATTTTTTATAGTCTTAAGAAAAAGGGATTTTTTCCTAGAATTCCAAGAACATTAGATCTGAGTCTGGCTTTTATAATGTATGTACATGTATCTCCTCAGGAATTCTTAATCAGCTGGAAATATTCTTTGGCAGTTAGATTAAATCACTGTGCACTTATATTACCCAATACAAACAAGGAAGACTAGAGGTTTTCTAGGCCAAGTCTTCAATTAAATGTGAGCCAGATCTGCAAGGACAGAGCTCCAGCAACTCACCAGAACATCTGTCAGGTAGTCCACACTATAGTTTTCACCATGTTTCCGTGCCTTTCCATTGATGGAGAGGGTATAATTATAGTATTTAGAATTCTTTTCCTATTTAAAAGAGGAAGTAAAATTTGTTGTGAAATCTAAACACAATACGAAAGTCTAAACCCATGCTGGGCTAAACTATGTCTAAACAGTGATAAGGCACACAAAAGGCATTTACAAATTAATACTCACCCGGATTTTTTTGATGAGGGCTTTATTTAAGACTAACAGTTTTAGCAATTTCAATCATTTATCCTAGTTTAAAAGCCTCAGATGGACCAGGAAGAACAGTAAATTACATTGCTAAACCCTCTATAATACAGAAAAAACATCTGGAGAGAGTGACTCACCAGTCAACAGATTTTCTTTTACAGAAATAAAACAGTTAATGATAAAGCAAAAAATGTATGTTGGTAATAAATTAGAAATCAAACACACTTTGGATCTGCAGCATTGTGTATGATCATCAGTAATGACTCACCAAAGCATACCAGTAACTCCAGCCCAGAGGAACATGTTCTAGACCACCTGCATCCAGAGATCCATACTGAAGAGACAAGCAGGGCATTAGAACACCTCAGACATGACCAGGACAGTAACAAGCAACTGAGAATCTTAGGACTATTGCCTGAAACATAATGGTTGCTCAATTTCCCCAAACACACAAGCTAATTAAAAAGAACTCTAATCCCACCAACTTCTTTGGCTGGAATTGGCAATATATGGCTAGTGAACCAAATCTGACTTGCCAATTGTTCTGTACAGTCAGCATGCTAAGGGCTTTTTAAAAATTTTTAATTAATCAAAAGAAAAATATTTTATGAAGTGTGACAATTACAAGAAATTAAAATTTCAGTGCTCACAATTTTATCTGAACCCAGTCACTGTCATTTGTTTTCAGAGTATTTATCCTGCTTTAGAGATGCATGGCCTGTGAACCCTAAGACATTTACTATTTGGCCCTCTACAGAAAAAAAATCCATGTGGTTTATCACACATCATCAGCTATGTTGGTACAGCAGAGTCCAACTGAACTTGTGGCCAGTAACAACCAAAATAATCAGACTATGGACTATCGGGTTATTATTTCAGTTGTCCTTCTGATGAAATCTACCAATTTACCTGATGAGATAAGTCAGTGAAGAGACCACAGAATGTCCCCTCCTTTTCTCAACGAGCTTTAATACTGCTCATTTAAGGCAGAATTTAATCCCTGAGAATTACGCTACATCAGATGACCTTCCACGCAAAGTTGCAATCATTCCCTTTGTGACCCATAGTCCCAACTGTATAACCAAGTATTTCACATTCCACTTTTCATGACTATTTGGTAACTGACTCAATGTCCTCCAAACCCACAACGTTGCATATTTCCCCAACTACTGGGGGACGGGGTAGAATGGAAAATTCAAATCAGATATTGAGAACGCTAGTGACCACAGATAAAATATGTAAGAAAATGTACATCTTCTCTGTCTTCATTTCCAGTTTAACTGTATGAATTAAGTCTAAGCACCCTCAAATACGCTACTTCCAATAACCCTGGAATTTGACTAAAAGCTAATTCTAATGTGGTGGACTTGGGGTCATGAAACTTGGCCTGACAGGTTACAAAGAGGCATCACCCCTCCCTTAGCTGCCTGCCCCAGGCTCTGGGTACTTGCCCTTCATCATAATCTCTGTTTTCACCTTCTGGGTCAGGAAACTTAAAGCACTCAACTGTTAAAATTCAGGGAAGTCTTTTAAGAAATCTTTTGTTTTTGGTCGGGGGTCTTCTTGAGATAGGGTCTTGCTATGCAGTGCAAGCTCACTTTTTAGCCCAGGCTGGTCTCAACTTTGCATCGATCTTTGTGCCTCAGCCTCCCAAGTGCTGGGATTACAGGCGTGGGCCACCAGGCTTGGCATGACTGCTATGAAATCTGAGGAAAAAGCCTAAGACGAAAATTTTTTACTTGGATCCTGATACAGGGGAAATGGAAACAAAGACACCATGACAGCCACATGACAAGCAGAATTTCTGAGCCGAAAAGGGAAGACTGGCATTCTTAAACAGAATTTTTAAATAAATGATGAAACAGAAAAACACAGTATCTAAACAGAATTTTTAAATAAATGATGAAACAAAAACACAGTATCTAATGCATGTAAATATGCTCAAGTAAGTAAGTTCTTTTAGTGGGCAGCTTAGAAAAAAAATATATATTATTAAGAACCTTTTAACATGACTCGAATTGATAGTAAAGAAAAAGCAACTGGAGTTATATTAATTCCCATTGAAAACACTGTTACAAGAATAATGAACAGACCATGCAACATACCTCATTTAAATATTTCCCTGCAAAAAAAGTTTGGTAACCACACATGGACCTCAGTATTGCTGGGAAAGTATTTGGCTCCTGGGTCTTCTGCCACGATGTGCTACTGCAGTTTCCCTCCAAAGTGTTGTTAACAACATGATGATTATGTGGGTACTTTCCTGTCAGAATACTGGCTCTGCTGGGGCAGCAAAGCGCACTTGGCACATACTACAGAGAAAAAAAGAGCAGAAAGTAAGTTACATGAGACAGATGGATTTCTCATCATTTCTAAAGAGAATAAAAGAGGCTACTTAACAGTATAACTGTGAACCTTGAGTTTCTCACAGAATAGATTTTCTTTACACATGATGAATTTCACAACTCCACATAGTGGAGACACCAAAGTAGGTAAGTCAAATAGAGAAAATAAATTTTCTTTTCAGTTGGTGTCTTTCTACAAATTCCAACACATAGTATCACTTAGCAAAGAAATGGTATTTATATGCAAGGAACACAGTATGGCTGGAACAGGATCTTAACCAAAGATTTTAAAAAATGCTACTTCAATCTAATGGAGTACAGGTGTATTTCTTATCTATTTATCTAGTTTACCTACTATTAAACTTTCTCCATTTTACCCAGTCATGATAGTTGTACAAATCACCAAGTCACTTCACAAAAGTTAACACTGGAAGGATAGGACTGACCACTCAAGCACACATTTATACTAAAATCACATACTGTCCTTTGAAAGACTTAACACTATTTTTTACACTTTCATGTTGGATTTAGTTTTTTGATGCTGAGGATTAAAACCAGTAACTTGTAAATGATACCCATAAGCTCTACTGAGCTATGTGCCTCAACCTGTACTAGTATTTTTATTTATTTATTTATTTATTTATTTATGGTACTGAGGATCAAACTCACAACCTCACACTTGCAGGCAGGCACCTGTGCCTATAAGCTATATCCCCAGCCATGGCATTTTTATATACTAATGAGGATGAACATTCTCCACAAGCAAACTGACTACATTTATGTGAATAATAAGTCTGTTCATGTGGTTTGTTCTATTTTTGGTTTTTTCCTTCTGGGCTGTTGACTTCCTATTACAATATAAATACTTCATAAATAAATACAATATAAAGGCTTTACTTTTGCCTTTGACTTCTGTTTTTTTGGCGACAAGATCTTGCTATGTAGTTCAAGCAAGTCCTCAACTATGTAGTCTGGCTGGCCTTGAATTTAGAGCAATCCTTCTGCTTCTGTCTTCCAAGTGCACCCACCATGCCCTGCTGACTTTTGTTAATTTTTAAATCAACAATTCCTAATTCTTTTTCTTTCAGTGATTTTATGGCCACTAATATACTGCTTTTAGTATATTCTTACAATATTTTAGTTGGGCAGTCTCTTCCTTTGAAAATACAACCTTGACAGGTTTGACTTCTGCTATGCAAAAAATATTTTATTTTAAGGTAAGGGGTTTAGATGAGTAGCACAGCAGATGCTTAGCATGTTTTTTTGGCCCTGGGTCCAAAAAACAAAAACAAACAAAAATACAGAATCACTTGAGTCTAAAAAAGTATTGCTATGATTTGAATTAGAGTATTTTGCTTGTATTCCCACAGAAAATGACCTGCATGTGTACATATCAAGTATTTTTATTTTATTACGAAGTACTGTAACTTTATATACATAGCTCTTAACCATTTCTGGCCACTACCAGTTATTCCTAGAGTCTGTATTTTGCTATTATGATCTTTTCTCATCTCCTTCTGACTTTTCTAACTTTTTACATGGAAGACAGTTTTTTTCATTTCTATGTTGCTAAATTCTATTAAAGAATTTTCCAACAATCTTCCTGTATTTTCTAAGCAGAGAATCCAAAAAGGTGGACATAATAATTTTGACGTTTTACCAATAGTTTTATATCTTATTTCCATAAGATTTACGGCAATGACTAAACAGTGCTGAACATTAAATGAGAAGCATAAAGCCTGTCTCATTCCTAACAACAATGCCTTATTTCAGGTTCAGTACTGATAATTATGTATTACATACATCAACTCATTTAATTACAACGACCTTGATGGAGATTTTGGTAACTTCATTTACAAATGCAGACACCAAGAGCCAGAACGATTAACTTAGCCAAAGTCACAGAGTAGAAAACAGACAGAAAAAAATAATCAAAATGAGGCAGTCTGGCTCCAGAGTCTGTGCTCTTCAGTATACGCTGTACTACTATTCCATGAGTTTTCTGTTACGAAGCTACCTTTCATTCCTACACTTCCACTTACTGGGTTACATGCATGATTTTAAGTCACTAGTATTTTATTTTGGATCTCTGCATCTGTATTTTGCTATTACCTTTGTCTCAGTTGGCTACTGGAGATAAATGAAGTTTTACAATAGATAAGTTACACAGCATAAATATTACTTGACTTTTACAATCTATTTTCAAACTTCAGTGAGTTTTTAAATAAAATTCTCTATTCTGAGTTGTAGCACAAACTGGCTTAGAAAATACCTGCAATTAATCTTCAACTGATAGGAAGTAACATTTCAATTAAAAGAATTTATAGCACATTAAAGTCTGTCCTTTAGATCAGACATTTAACTAAAAACACCTCCAAAAAAATTATGCCAAATTCCCAGAACAGTGTGTATCTTCTTAGGACTTAAACACAAATCAAACAAGATTTGTTACAAAACTTACGGCACTGGAAAAAGTCATCCCCATCTCTCCAATAAGAGCCTTGGTTTTCTTTAATGGTGTCTGTAAGAGACGTAAACACCCATTATACAACTTCTTACGATAAATTAAAACATACAGAGCAAAATTATGTTGTTATATGTCACTCAACGTTTCATTCCCAGATAGTCACCTCTATCAACATTAAGCAACTGCCAAGAGAATGGTTATGATTCTGGACATAAACCAAACGAATTTGGTTATCGTCAGCTGTAGTGTATGGAAAAGTATAGGAGTTCATAACGCAAGCTGGGAGGGAAGCATTACCAGAACTATATTTGATGCCAATTCTAATGTAATGAAACTTGGTGCCCTTTCCTTGTTACCAGCCCTGTCTCCAGAGAGACATGGCAGATCTCTCTGTATGAATTTACCATTAGAAGCAGAAGTTCACACTTTAAGAAAGAAGAAAGACCACACTTAGATTCTGAAAGCCAGGCAAGTCCCTGAGCCTTAAAGACTGTCTCAAATCTCATACTCAGTGGTGGAACCCAGATACTCTTTCACTACTAACTCTCTGCTCCCGGCATCAGATCCTTCATTACCTCACGGTAAAGCACCTGAACCACGTGGCAGGAAACTGTAGGAATTCTGACAGGATGGAAGTCCATCAGAAATTACTTCATTTATATCTTTTTATTTTTTGTTCAAAGTGTAAAGTTCTCACAAATACACAGAACATAACTTCATCCCAAAGGACAAAGGTTTTCAATACAAATAATAGGAAAACTAAGAATCATTGCTCATATTCCAGACAGCCGAAACTACCATTATAGAGGCTTATTTCATTGTATTGAAAGGTAAGTCATGATGATCTGAAATACCTTTGAAATCTAAGACCATATTGAACAGTTTAAATACATTTTGTGTTAATTCCTTAAAGACTGACAATCTAAATAAATCACTACACTAATAATAAGAGCCTCATTTTCAACAATATATAGATTACTTTCTCCCATTCCTTTATATTAATAGAAAACCTAGGGAATCTTATAAACTCGAAAGATAAGCTTTGATAATTTCACAAGTAAATCCATAATGGGATCCCAGAAAGTGCTAGAATTGCAGAAAACCTGTGCCAATCTTCAGACATAATGTCACCATGTTTCCTCATAACATCACTAGATGCTATTCTTGGGGAAAGAACAGCAAGTTAAATGGAAGACTGGCTTGATGAAAAATCGAAGTTACTACTAGATACTGGAAGAGAAAAAATGAGAATGAGATGCACGCTGGGAAAAAGCCCATGGTCATGACTGAGAGTTATCAAACTGATCAATACGTAAAGAATTAACAAGTAAACAAATAATCATCTCAGGTAGTAAGGAATGCTAAGAAAATAAGCCAAGATGAAGTGATTGCACCTGGTGGGAAGAATGAACTATTTTAGACAGGTGGGCAGGAAAGACCTCTTTCAGGAGAGAAATCTACTGCCCAGAGTCCTGAGATAGGTCAGTTGTGCCAAGATATGGAAGAGGAGGCTTCCAGGCTGAAAGAAAACAAGAACAGAGGCTGCCAGAGGAAGATGAGGTACCAAGAGCAGAGACAAAGCCAGTATGGTAGAGAAAGTCCAAAAAGAAAAGAAAATAGAGAAAGGCAAGATCAGAAAATAGGACAGAGCCAAGTGACGCAAGGCTGCAGAGGAATTTTGATTTTCATCTAACAAAAAGTTTCTATTCCTTGCCAATAGTAGTACAAGTAATAACCATAATCTGTGCTTCATCAAACAAGTCCTCAGCAAGAAACTACATTACTGAAACTGTAGGACTCCACGCTAACTTGAATGGACAGAGGCCAGATGAGTGAAGGACACAGACATTAAGCCGCAGCCAATCTTACAATCTTGCATGGGAAAACTTTATGATCCCAAGCAAAATTTCTTCCATAAAACACTAATGGGTCATTTACTTTCCTGGTTCCATGTATTGATAACTGTCATAATTTTTTTTTTTTTTTTTTTGTCTTTTTGAGACAGGGTCCCGCTATGCAGTTCAGGCTAGTCTTGGGCTCACTTTGTAGCCCAGGCTGGTCTCCAACTAGCAAGGATCCTCCTGCCTCAGCCTCCCGCATGCTGGGATTACAGGCATAAGCCACCACGCCCAGCAACTGTCACAATTCTAAGGCTAACTTTTAATGATGGAAGTCATTTTGCTTTAAGCAAGGGCTATTTATTCTTCTATTTCGTAATAGCTCTTCCTCTTGCTTATGTTTGACCAAATATCATTTCTTCCTCAAATGAATGATTTTAAAAAGGAGAACTTGTGCTTCTGTGAAGAACAGCGTGTCCACTGCATAATTATGTTTATAATCAAGAAAAAGAGTTCTCTGGGAAAAACATAAGATCAGTGTCTCACAGATCATACCTGAGACAAATGCAGTGAAGTATTAAATTTTGCCACTACTTAAAGACCGTATCAAAGAAGACAAATATTTCACCTTACATCAAAACCATGTGAGGGCTGTAATTCATTGACCTTAGTCTGGGTGTTGACTACTGCTGACTCTGCCAACTAGAGCAGTAATTTGTAGTCTTTTACCTCAGAGCACTCTCTTCACACTAACGAAGAAATGATACATAAAGTCTTACATGTATATTAAAGACACTGGTGACCCCACCTGAACCCCTGACTATCACCCGAATAATTTCTGGTCTATGGACTAAGTGACTACACGGGTAGGAGTATGCGGAATAACATCTGATAAGTCAGAATTATTCCATTATTTTAGAACAGGAGAACAAACCTGGGGTTCTGTGATGATAAAATACTCAGGTGTGGCCTGTCCTAGCGCTATGAATGTTAGCCAAACTTCCTAACCACCTCTAAATTTAGTTCCCTTTTCACAATAATGGAAAGCATCTTCAGGAGAGAGCTCCTGTGATGACTGAAGCACAGCTATAAAACACCTCTTCCTCTGCTGGCTCCAACTAAGTTCTCGCACACTGTTCTTGTCCTGTCTCCTCTTTGGAGCTGTGTTTGACAATTAGTGGTAGAATATTCTGAAAAAGTCGGTCAGGATCTTCTTAAGAATTGAGAACATTAAGTTTGACTTTTCCCTCCACTCAGTTTTGGCTTTCTTCAGTACAGACATCTTTTTAAAAAAAAAATTCATTATAATTTAAAGAAGCAAATCAACATACTAAAAAGAAACCTCAAATAAACACACAACCACTCAGCAAGAATTGAGTCTTGTGAGCGGGAAGGTAAGTGTAGGTGTTGGAATAGAGGAAAATCTAGGAACGAAAGTAAGTCAAAAATTCGATCAACATGATTAGGTAGAAACTAAAAGGCCACCAGACATATGCGAAAGGAATAAAATAGTGATAAAAATGTATTAAACATCGGCTATAAATACTATCTCAGTTGCATGTGGTGGCGCACACCTGTAATCGCTGCACTTGGGAGGCTGAGGCAGGAGGACTGCCAAGAGTTTGAGGCCAGTGCGGTTTAAATAGTGAGTTCAAGGCCTGCTTGAAATACATGGTGAGACCCTGTCTCAAAAAATGAAACACACTATCTTATGTTACGAACATAAAGTGTATCTTTATTCTCTCTAATACAGATTAGAGAAAATACAGATTTTCACTTTATTCCACTCCACAGAAGAGCAAAAATGTTGGTAGTCACTCACAAACCTGATTTCACATAACTGGAACCAGTAGTTTGAGACACTGAGCTAGTGTTACCACACACAAAAAATTAGGAACCTCTTGTCCAGAGACTTTTCATAGTCTCAGCACTCCACTGAAAGAAAAAAAGAGAACTAAAGCATTGTTTTTTAAAAAGATGAGGAACAGGCTGGATCCAGGACTAGACCAGTCAGGGTTTTTGTGTTGCAGCAAGAGTTCAGAGTCTGCTGGGCGTAGTGGCTCATGCCTGTAATCCCAGTACTGGGGAGGCTGAGGTGGGAGGACCGTTGCGAGTTTGAGACCAGCCTGGGCTACAAAGTGAGCTCAAGGCCAGCCTGAACTGCGTAGTGAGACCCCATCTCAAAAAAGACAAAAAAAAAAAAAAAAAAAAAAAAAAAAAAGAGTTCAGAGTCTGTGTGCTAGGCAAACAAACTCCTTTTCATCTTCCACAAGGCATTTGGGGGTAAACTTTCTGAAGGTCATAAATCCCATAACTTTAAAGTAAAATAAATTCTTGGGAAAGAATAGTCATATGACAATACTTTTGGACCGCTAACAGTGTCTAATGCATCAGCCAAGAATTCAATTACACTAATTGAATTTTGATTTTTGCAAGGCACAAAAACTCTGAATAGCTCAACGACTTACCTGCCAGATTAGTTCATTTTAACACTTATTATATGGATACCAGGCACAAGCATTATATACAGCCACAAATGCAGAGAAGGGATAGGTCCTTATAAACTGAACTTGGCCTCTGATCCTCTAATCCAAAAGAAAAGGAATCAAGGCTTGTGCGCTCCTTTTAGGACCTGTTCCTCGAAGGTTCAACACAGTTTAACTGGCGTTCACATATTTAAGATGTGAACGAAAATTTTGCAAGCTGTAACGTCCAGACTAAAAGCACAGTGCTGTGCCTACATATGAATCATCCCAAAAAACGAAACAAGAGTCCTAGGCCCATCAAACCTGCATAAAGGGGCCTTGAGTTGCAGGCAAAACCAAACCCACCCAGGGTCGAGGCTGCTGGGGTTAGGGGAGAAGGAGCAAGCGGGGAAACGGCAAACGCGAGTCAGAAGCCCGCAAATCGGCCAGGAAAGTGGAGGGGCGGGGCAGAAAGAGAAGAGTTACCATGCCGCCAAGCACTGCGTCCTGATCGTCGGTGAGGAGGAGCACCACATTGGGCCTCCGAGAGCCAGCCGCCAGACCCGGAGCCTCCAGGCAGCCGCTCAACAGCAGGAGGAGCAGTGGCGCTGGGCTACAGGCGGGCAGGCGACGGTGACTGCCCCACCGGGGCCCACCTGGAGCCACAGCGAGAAACCGCATGGCTGACAGTGCTCGGGGAGTAACCCGAAGCAGAGGGGATGCAGCGACGCACAGATCACCGAAGAGCCAGGCCCCGACGAGCTACCGCGTGAAAACACCGCGGCGTGAAGGCCGGCAGCTGGGGTCAGGTTCTCTCGCACCACGCGCGATCACGTGAACTCGAGGCAGTGGGCAGGGCACGCCGCGTCGTCACGTGACGGGGTCGTGGGCGGGGCTTCGGGCGGGGCTTCGGGCGGGGCCGTGCCGGGAAAGAGACTGGAGGGAAACTGGACTGAGGCCGGAAAGGGGCAAGACAACAGGGCTGTGATCTGGTAGGACCTGTTTGTGATCGCTTGTTAGAGAATTTAAACTGGAGGAAAGAAATGAAAAGCAGGAAGAAAAAAAAAAAAAAAAAAAAAGCAGGGGGAGTCAGCAAACACTAATCAATAAAGTAAATGACAGGAGTAGTGTACCTGTCCTATACCATAAGACCTATTGGCAAATAACACCTGGGCTCTACCCATCTTAAGTTCCGAATTAAGGAGCCGTCGTTCAGGGCCCTTACTTTTGGTCTTTTTCAGTTTTCTCAACGCCAGAAGATAGGGCTTAGTATTTTCTTTGTATCAGCTGTTGCATTTGGCGCTGCATTTCAATTCAGCTCTAACTCCGAAGCCTGATTATGTTCTTCAGCTGACATCTTGGTTTCAGTTTTGGTGCAGATATCTTGATGGCTTTATTCTTGATACAGTATTCATTCCTTGGTGAATTTTTAGAAGCCTCTTAGATGTTGGAGGATGTGCACTTGAGCATACACAAAACACTGAAGGGTGGCCACTCAAAGACATTATTAAGTAAACTAAGAAAAAAATTAAATGAAACTAGGAGCTTTGGAACAAGTCTGTCTTGCTTCCTCATTGATAAATATACCTGGTGAGGTAAATTGTCAAATTATATCCTCAACTCAGTCCAACAGTACCTCCTTGCCAGTAGAAAAGTATGCATTTTTAAAAATTGCACAGAGACAAAAGTTTTAACACTCAGGAAAGCATTGTTCTATAAGGTAAAAATAATTGTGGGAGCACTTTGAAACTGTTTATATATAACTATATAGTTTATGCAAAGAAAGTAAACCTTCAATTTTTAATTTTATCTGCTGTGTGAGGGATGAACAGTAGGGCTTCATGTGTGCTGTGTGTAGTTAAGCTCTCTGCCATTGGTACTGGGTCATTTTTAATACTTTTTAGGAAGGTTTTTTTTTTTTTTTAAAAAGACAGATTCTCCTTCAAGCTGGCCTTGAGCTCCCTGTGTATCTCACGCTGGAACTCACCATGATCCTCCTGTCTTAGCCTGTAGAGGGCTGGGGTTACAGTGGTGTACCACCATGCCCAATTATCTTTTTATTAATTTTTTAAAAATATAATAATTCATAAGGGAAAAATATAATGTTATATGAATTTTTAGAAGATCCCATAGACTCTGATATGGAGGATACAAGAAGACAAGAACTGTTAAAAGTAGGCCAGTTAGGAAGAGAGAGAGATGAATGAACAGGGGCAAAGCCAGAGTTTGTGAATCCTGATGCTCATGTATAATTTGACGAGTCAAGGCTTTAGAAGAAAAAGAATAGCACTTAGAAATATGAAATTAGGTGCAAACATAAATATGTATTTAGATTTTTTAAAAAATCATAAGATTTATCGTTTTTTTTTTTTTTTAGTTTTTTGAGACAGGGTCTCACTTTGTAGTGTAGGCTGGCCTTGAGCTCACTGTGTTGCCCGGGCTCGCCTTGAACTTGTGGGCATCCCCCTAACTCAGCCTCTTGAGTACTGGGATTACAGGTATATGCCACCACAACAGGCTCAAAACATAGATTTTTTAAAGTGGAAAACTATTACAAGTAATGCAAATTTTAAAATAACAGTTTTTCTATCTGCCTAATGCACCTCTGTGTGCTTCATGTCCTACATATTGTGACTACTTTGTCTCTTACACAACAATAGTTTGTAATATTTTCAAAAGAGAATGGATAATCTAATCTTTTGTTGGTGATCAGTTTGTTTTATTAGTGATGATTCAGAAAATTTTTTTCAGTGACAGCCATGCTGCCACGAAGAGAACCAAGAAGTCAACCACCCTTCCTGTGAGCCACCAGCAGCCATGTGGCCGGGGAAGACAACCAAGAAACCAACCCATCTTCCTATGAGCTAGCTGGTGTGTGGACTGGAAGACGATGGCCCCCTACCCTCAGGCAACTGGCTGATTGGGAGGAACACAGGCTGGGATGATGGCAACTGAGGCACAAGAACAACTTATGCTTGTATTAATTGATTGACTTTGCAGGCGTAAAGCCAGTAGTTTGAGCATGTGTTTAGAAGATAATTATATGCAATATAGCAACTGTGGGGGATCTCTTTCTGTCTTGTTTTATTGTTCTTATTGTTTTGTTCCATTTTATTGATTTTAATGAGAACAAGATTAGCTTCCCTTTTACCTCAAAAAATACTTTTTTCATTTTCATGGTTCATTATTTAGGAGTTTTATCAAATTTCAGATAAGTGTTATTCATATCTTATTGGCTATTTCAAGTTTTTGAAAATAAAATTAGTAATCTTATGTATTTTAATTGAAAACACTCATCAAATGTAGAAAAGTATCTACTAAATACATTCATATTGAAAGTCTATAATTTCTCACTCATTTTATTGAAAAGTTCTGCTATGTCTACATGGCAATTAAAACACTTAAATTTTTTTCTTCAATCAGATTTTATTGGTACATTTTAGATATGCATAATAATCACATTCATCTTAGAGAATTTATTTCTATGCTGATATAACTTGATTCTTTTTCCCGTTCCTCTACCCTCCCTTCAATCCCTCCTCTCTCCCCATTTACATAAGCATTGTTTCCATTTTTTCCTTCTTTTCTCACTTTTTTTACTTTTCCCTTCTGTCCTTTTCCCCTGCCCCTCTTGTCCCCCTCCCCTGTTGAACATTTTCTTCCTATTTCATAATACTTAATGTACATTTTAATATGTTTGAATTTTGTCAACTATTAAGTTTTAAATTACATTTATTTTGGGTTTCTTTATGGAGTTGTCAAAAATATATTTTGTTCTTAAACTTTTATTGAACCTGTGTTTCAAGGCTTGAAAATCTTTGTAATGGACAGACCATTTCATTATATTTAGACTTTTCCTAGTTGGGATATATGTTTAAAATAGTCTATATAGGGCCAGGGATTTAGCTCAGTGCCACAAGCACTTGCCTAGCAAGTGCCAGGTCATGAATTTGATCCCTACTAAAAAAAAAAAAAAAAAAAAAAAAGTGGGTGTAGCACACAGGAGGCTGTGGCCACAGGATTCCTGCAAGTTTGAGGCCAGCCTGGACTACAAAATGAGTTCAAGTTCGGCCTGAATTGCATAGTAAAACCCTGTCTCAAAAAGGAAGAAAAAGTTAAATAAGTAAATAAAATGGTTGATATAGTAGTTGACTTTGAAAATAAAATACACAACTAAAGCAAAATATTGATGTAGTTAACAACTTCAGGTGTTTTTCTCTTACAAAAATTAATGAGCTGAGTTTGACTTCTAGTCTGCAATATTGTTGTTAAAGAGCAGCATCCTTGTGCCCTAATCATGAGAGCTATGTTGACATACGACTGATTATAAATGTCGTTTACCTAAACGTGAAGATACCCAAATCTTGTTTTATGTTGTGAATACAAATGTCTTTACTTCGCTAAAAAAATAACTATTGGAACTATTAAAAATAACTATTAGAACCTGGCATGGTGGTACATGCCTATAATTCCAGTACTCTAGGAGGCTGAAGTAGGAAGAACACAAATTTAAGCCCAGCTTGAGCCACTTAGTAATTTAGTGAGACTTTGTCTCAAATTAAAAATAAAGGGTTGAGGATGCAGCTCAGCGGGGAGGCCCTCATTTCAAATTACTGTTAGGGTTTCCTGTGACAAGTGTAGCTCACACTAATTGCCAACTGATCAGTGTTCATAGTATCCAGAATAGAATATATATCACTTGGTGTTTTGTTATGTACTTGATTTTTCACTTTTTTATTTTAAAGAGGATAAAACAGCATTAAAACCAATCAAAACAAACCAGTGTAAAAGATACAGGACTTCAAAACATTATGAAATCAACAATAATTAGCATAATGCCTTTTGATGTCTTCAAAATAGCTGTGGAAAACTTCAGATGTAGTGAAAATCAGACAGAATAGACTAGAAACCATAAAAACAAAACAATGAATGCAGTAAAGGACTTCAAGCCAATAGTAAATCCAAAATTGCTACCATAATATATCTTGCTATCTTTGAAATAGCTACTCCTGCCACTGGATTTGTCATAATCAAACAAAATAAAAGAGAATAAAACCCAACCCAACAATATAATGAAAACAATAAAGGACTTCCAAAACAAGACCATAGGGAATCAACAATGGCTGCAACCCTCAGGAGATCCCCCCTAGATGTCACACTGTGAATCACTATCGTCTGAACCTAGGATCAGACCGCTGGCCATAGATCTGCAGTGTTAGTGAAACCCCAAAACACCACAGGCATCCAATTGCATTTCGCCTCCATAGCTATCATGATAGCCTGTGTTTCTCTGGAAAGCTGGTCATTTATGGTAGGGGTGGGGTATGGTGGGGGACGGGGTGTGGCTGCTGGGGCTGGGGTTGGTACTTTTTGTTTGCCAGATTGAGTGCCAGAAGAGGCTGGAGTCTGTCTGTTTCAGTCCAGTGGTGGCCTGTGTATGGCACTGGTTCCCACACTGTGTTTGCTTGCTGGTGTGGCTTTTTGACTTTTCACTTTTTGAATGCATTTTATTGTTCAATTTTTGTGTGTGGGGGGATGGGAGGAATGTTGAAACAGGGTCTTGGTACATAATTCAGGCTGGCCTTGATCTCACCATGTAGCCCACCCTGGCCTTGAACTGTGGCAGTCCTCTTGCCTTAGCCTCCTGTGTGTTGGGATTTATAGGTGCATACCACCATACTCCTTTCAATTTTAAAAAATAAATTGTTTTACTAAATAGATCATTTTTATTTTGAATTTTTTTTCTAAGAGCTTGAACAAAAAAATGGCTAAAACAGTTGAAAAATTCATAACATTTTCATTTTAGCATCAGCACTGCTTTTATCTGATCTCTGAGGTACGAGTCTCTTTCACTTAAACATTCAATAACTTTATAACCTCCACCACCTTTGCCCATGATTGAATAACAGTGCCAGATTAACCTTCCTAAAACAGGGCAGAACACACATATTTTCATACAAGGACAACAGTCAGTGCAGGACTATCATTTGTGTGTAAAGGGAACAAATTGTTGTCCCGGGTTTTGGTCTGGAGGCTCATTCTGAACCAGAGGGTAAGAAAGGATCCCGGCAGAACAAAGTGTTCCTGCTGATGATGTACAGGGGAGCTGAGGTGGAAGAAGGCTGGGGCAGATGGAAGTTACAGGGAAGAGCATCAAAGGAGATGCTCTATAGTTCAAAGGTCAATAAATCTGCATAATGTCCTCTTGAAACTTCTGAGATATGCAGTTAAAGGGCAGTTTACCTTTTGGCAGGGTTTGGAGATGTTTAAGACTCAACCAACCAGAGAAAAAAGTCCTCCTTCCACAACAGGTACACTCAGGCACCTGGAAAGATCATGATCTGATAGAAAGGCTATCCTGTCATTATCTACTCTACAGTTAAAATAATAAAGCTTGAATACAGCCTTGTAAATATCAAGCTGATATGCAATTTAACTTGCCTTACAGAACAAAGCCCATCATTTTTTAAGACTACCAAATTTAGATACATGATAATATGAAATTTGTTTGTGACTGATAACCAGAACCAAAATTTATCAGTATAACCTAAATGAATAGTAGAGAAGAAGTTAACAATTCAGGATGCTAAAGTATTATACCATGTTTGAGTATTTAAAAGTAAATATAAACCTACTGAGAAATGGAAAATAGTTTTCAAAAAAATAGAACTGATATCCAAAAAATTATTTTTTGTGCCTTTTTGATACAGGGTCTGAGGGCCAGGGATTTAGCTCAGCGGCATAAGCACTCGCCTTGCAAGTATGCGGTCATGAGTTCAATTCCTGGTACCAAAAAAAAAAAAAAAAAAAAAGAGAGAGACAGGGTCTTACTATGCAGTTCAGGCTGGCCTTGGGCTCACTTTGTAGCCCACGCTGGTCTTGATCTTGCAACAATCCTCCTGCCTCAGCTTTCTGAGTACTGAGATTACAGGTGTGTGCCACTATGCCCAGCTTCCAAAAAATATTTGTGTCATGAATTAACAAATTACACAATACAGAGGTAGAGGATAAGTTAACTGGAAGACACAACAGTATAAATACTCCAAATAAACCTAACAGGAAAAATATGAAAATAAAATGAACAGAATCTCTGTGACCTATAAAACAATAATCTATAGTCTACCAATCATATAACTAGGAGAAATGATTAAATCATTAATTTAAAAATGTGTAGCCAAGTGTAGTAGTGATCCCAGCAAGTTGGGAGGCTGAGGCAAAAGGATTGCAAGTTTGAGGCCACCCCTACCCCTCAACTTAGACACTGCCTCAAAATTAAAAGAGCTGGGGATGTAGCTCAGAACTCCTGAATTCAATGCTAGAACTGAAAAGTAAATTTCAATGTGGAGAAAACTGATGCCCAAGAAACTTTAATTCCATGCAGAATGGAGATAAAGATAAACTCACAACTAACATCCTATTTCATGGTGAAAGACTATGCCATCATTTTAGCACAGCAACAAGGATGCTTGTCCTGAACACTACTATTCAACATTATGTTGTAGGTTCCAGCCAGTTCAATATACAAGTGAGAAATATTCAAAGAAATCCACTAATGGATTATCATAAAAAATGTTGAAAGACAAAAAAAAAAAAACAGCTTGAAATTGCAAGAGAAACATGGCTCATCATTACAAAGGAATTCCAATGAAATCAACATTATTTCTCATTGAAAATAATGACAATCAGAAGATAGTATTAACACACTCAGTGTGCTCAAAAAACTATCAACCAAGAATCCTATACCCAATAAAGCTATCTATAAAAAAAAGAAGGTGAAATAAAACCCTTCTCAGATAAATAAAAACAAAGGATTTGTGGCTAACAGCCCGGTCTTACAGAAACTCTTTTGGCTGAAAGTGGTTCCAGCCAGAAAAAAAATAAAAAGCACTGATAGGTGTAATTATGCAATTATAAAAGACACTAAATGCATTGCTTAGTATTTTAAATAATTTGATAGTTTTATAAGATAATATGCATATAATGTAATGTTGGGGCTGTAACATGGAAATATACTGTATTGCCCATTAATAGCACAAAAGAGATTGATAAGTTTGCAAGAAATTGATACAGGTTTGCACTGGGCTCAGAAAAATTACTGCAGATAGTGATTCAAATCCAATTTCACCCATGAGTGAAAAAAATCAGAAATACTAAATAAAGAGGTGATTGTAAAAACAAGCTCTAAATACATACTTTTTTTTCTTAGCTGCCATAAACTACAATTATAGGCAGTAATGAGCAAAACAATGTACTATACCATTTATAGATATAATATGTATAACAATATCACAAATGGGATAAGGATATGGATATATAGGAGTAATATTTCTTTTTTTTTTTTTGTCTTTTTCTTTTTTATCGGTACCAGGGATCGAACTCACGATCGCCTGCTTGCAAGGCAGGTGCTTATGCCACTGAGCTAAATCCCCAGCCCCAGGAGTAATATTTCTATATCTCACTGAGATTAAGTTAATATGAAGCTGTTCCTGCCAAGTTGTATATGATAATATAGACAGCTAAATTAGGTAGAAATATTACGGCATTCAGACAGAGCTAGGTCCTCACAGAAATCAGTGCAGAAGATGAGAACATACACAACTGTGGTGAGAGGCACATCTGTTAGAGGCCAAGCCTCAAGACAAAGATGGAATGACCAGCCCTATATACCTCCCCAGAGGATAAAGTAATTGGTATCTCTTTGTCCAATAATATCTAGATATTACCACCCAGTGGGTGATCAAGACTCCCTGATCCATCTCTTTCTAGTGAAACTTGTTCTTTCCATTTACACTTGCTACATGACCTGCCTCCCATTAGATCAAAATTATTTAAGCAGCTATACTTGTAATATTATTGATTAATCATAGTTTTGACCCACATTGTACCAACCTCATGATCTGGCTTTATTAAACTTCCTTTGAGAAATGGGGTTGTTCACAGCCCACTTTTGGATTCCCTCCTGTCTGTCAGGAGCTATTTATCTTAATAAAATTTTCCTACTCTTACCCTCTGTTATTCCTTAGAATTCATTCTTTGATTTTAGGGAACATAAACTTGGTGTATCTGATATCTAGCAGGTTGGGAGTTACATATTATTTCCCTTATATCATTTGGAGGTCCCACCAAGATAATTGGAAGGAAGTAAGAGTTTGTTTTTGTTTCATGGATTCTGGATGGTGACTTGTTTAAGTAATCAAAAATTATCCTTGTTTGTAAGTTGCTTATGGATTGAATTTTTATGCCTTTTTATGCATTGTCTTTTATTAAAATATTGATTTTTTTTGTCTTTTTCCTTTTTATCGGTACTAGGGATCGAACTCACGACTACTGCTTGCAAGGCAGGCGCTTATGCCACTGAGCTAAATCCCCAGCCCCCTTTTATTAAAATATTGATAAATTTAAGTTGAGAATGGGAGGATTATGTTGTTTCTTTGGTGGGATATTTTGCTTTTTTTTAGACAAGAATTTGTATTCCTGTTTTGTATATGCCACACTAGAATTTACTAGTTGCTGAATTTATTGGTGCTCCCTGTCTAATGTGGGAAAATGGGCAATTCATCAATAGTAGTTGGGAACTTTAAATACCCCCTTTCAATAACAGATGGAACACTTAGGTGGATCAACAAAGAAACAGAAAATGTGAAGAACATTATAAAACAAATAGTCCTAGGGTCTGAAGACATGAGGATATATCTAGGTATTATAGCACTTGCTTAGCATGTGTCAGATCCCTGGTACCAAAAAAGAAAATTAAAAGAGACTGGGCCTAGCAGACATCTCCATCCAACAACAGCAGAATTCATACTTTTCTCAAGTGCCTTGAATATTTTTCAGGATAGAACATGTGCTGAACCATAAAACAAATACCAATACATTTAAAAGAATAGAAAGAATTGAAAGTATATTCTATGACCAGTATGAAATGAAATTAGAAATCAATAGCAAAGAAATTTGTAAAATATAGTATTTAGAATTACCATACTCCAAGATGACCAATAATTTAAAGATGAAATCAAAAGGAAAATTAGAAAATACTTTCAGAGGAACCAGTATAAATATACTAAAGCTATGGAATATAGCTAACAGTTTAGAGAGTAACTTTTAGCTGTAAATGCCTATTGTGTATTAAAAAAATAATGATCTTCTATGAAAAATTTAACCTACTCTAACAATGGCAATCTAAATCTGAATCAGGAAGAAAGGAGAAACTTAAAAAGATTAGAGCAGATATTAATGAAATAGGGAATAGGGGAAAAACAATAGAGAAACATAAAAAGAACCAAAAACTGTTTGGGAAGATTAACAGAAACCTAACAAATCATAGCAGGCCCTTGCATACCTCCATTTAAGGAGCCAACCTGGCTTTAGCAGAAAGGATCATGGCAATTGGTTGAAGTCTGTCACAAGCTTGACAAGTATTAATCCTGATTTTAGTGGCCTTGTTGCATATATCTTTGCTAGAGATAAGTATAATAAATTATGAGCAGCCATTGATTTGATGAATGCGTTTCTCCCCTAATCAATCAAGAAAGAGATTCAGAAACATTTCATGATCTGTTTGTTTGTTTGTCTTTTTTGAGACAAGATCTCGCTATACAGTTCAAGCTGGTCTTGAGCTCACTTTGTAGCCCAGGCTGGTCCCAAACTTGGAATGATTCTCCTGCCTCCGCCTTTTGAGTGCTAGGATTACAGGTATGCACCACCATGCCTGGCTAAAGACACA